TTTAAAAAAAAAAAAAAAAAAAAAAAAAAAAAAGAAAAATTGAAAAAAAAAAATATATATATTTATATATACTTAAATATAAAATAAATATATGTATCTATATTGTTTTTTTATATATATATATATATATTAATTTACAGTATAAATTGTTTACATTATTAAAATTGTAAAAAAATATTTTTGTTAAAATAAGAAGAATACTTTTTAACATTTTATATATATGTTTCCATATAAAATAAAATATTTCAGAAAAAAAAAAAAAAAAAATTATATCAAAAAATTACAATAATGTAATCTTTAATGTATTTTTTTACGTTTATTTTATTTTTTCCTTTTTAAATTATTCTTTTTTTTTTTAAATAAATGTTGTTTTAATTTGTGAAAATGAAGAATGAAGAAGTAAATAAAAAAGTAGAACATTCTACTATATTTTATTATGAGATTTACAAAAAGTTATCTATGTATTATGAATGTGCAGTTAATGAAAATGAAAGAAAAAACAGGAAATTTTTTAAAAAAAAGAAGACAATTAACGAATTGAAAAATATACAAGATGAATTAATACAATGTTTTGATTCTAATATAGAAATTCTTTCAAATCCATTTTATTTTTTAAAATATGAAGAAGAAGATATAAATAAGAATGATTTAAATAATTACATATCTAATACTTATCCAAATATGCTAAATTTAACGGAAGATATTATTAAATGTTCAATTATTTTAAATAGAGATGCATATTACGTTTGCAAATTGTTTAATGATGTATATTTAAAAATTGAAAAAAATAATTTAGTTAATGAAATTACAAAGTCAGTATTTATATGTGAGATATTTAAAGAATGCATAGAAAAGGAAAACTTAATAGTTATGATTTTTTTTGAAATTATGAGATACTTAAACAAAAATGAGAAAATAGGTGTTTCTGCTAAAAATGAAGAAAAATCAACTAAATATGAAAATTTCAGTGAAAAAGAAGAAGAAAATTATACTGATAATGAATTAAAAAAAAATGAAGACATAAAAACATCAAGCATTCAAAGTTCAGTATCAAATAATTCGATTGGCAGTATAAATAATTCAAAAACTGTATCAGAAAATAATATAAATAATAAAATAAATTCAGATAGATTTTCTTTATATGTACTAATTATGCTTACAGAAAATGATTTTATAGAAAATATATTTTATGAAATAGAAAAAATTATAAAATTTTTAATTAAATATGATGACATTTGTGATAAAATTGATTATGTATTTAATTATAAAACTCATAAAATAAACATCCTTTTTAACTTAATTGATATTTTATTTTTATATTTTTCAAAATTTCAAGCTAACGCAAGTATTATATCAAGAATATTTAAATTATTAAATCATTTAGTTTCTTCAAAATATTTTGATTTTATATCAACTGATCATTATGTAAAAGAATTAGATAACATGTTATTTTCAGATAAAAAGAAAAAAAAGTTCTTTTTTAGATATTTGAAAAATATAAGAAATAATAAAATAATTTCACAAATTGATGATTATTATAAATTAGATATCAATGTATCAGATTCATCTTTGAATAAAATTGACGAATTAACTAATTCAAACATTTATAATCAAAATAATTTAGATGTTTTAAATCAAGTAAGTAAAGATAAATTAAATGATTTTGTTACTACATATAATACACCCCAACGTAATATAGCATCAGTCAATAATACATTATTAAATAACCAACAAAATTTATTATCAAACAACTATTTGTTAAGTAATACATCTAATTTATTAACAAATAATACATCTAATTTGTTAACAAATAATCCTTCAAATTTACTCACAAATAATACATCTAACTTATTAACAAATAATACATCTAATATATTAACAAACAACACACTTTCAAATTCAGTAAATAATCAGAATATTTCAAATTTAAATGTAAATACTAATAAAAGTAATTTATTTCAGAACAGCATAATGGTAAGTAGTTGTGAGGAAAAAAACGCAAATATACAAAATAAAACTTTTGATAATAGAGAAGAAAATTTATTAACTCAAAATAAAAATCCTAATTTAACTTTATCAAATATTTTAAATAACGAAGAAGAAAAAAGAAATAATCTAAATGATTTAACCATTTTTGATATTAATGAAAATCTAAAGGATAAAAAATGGAAACTATATGAACAATATAATACCACAAAAAACAATTATTTACGTAAGTGTTTAGATTGTTGTGGATATTGGTATAATTGTAATTGTAGTTTAAATGATTTTGAGAAATCAAGTTTAACATTAACAACACAGATAAGTTTATTATTAATATTATGCTTACATCCTAATATTGAAAAATATATTTACGAAAAAAAAAAAAATATAAATGTTGATAATGCATCTACTAATAAAGAAGATGTGAATTATTTAATAGAACTTAAAAAAAAAAAAATAAATTTTGATAACTTTTACAAACCAGATATATGGAAATATAATTGCATGAGCTCTCAAAAAGATTATAAAAATTTAATGAACATAAAAAATACATATTCTATTAGTACTTCTTTTATAAATGAAAATATATCTTATTATTATTTATTCTTTACAAAAATTAATGAAAAAAATAAAAAAAAGAAAAATTCTAAAACAGAAAAAACGGAAGAATTTTGGAATATAAACAATAGCAATGATGATGATAAAATAGACTCAAATATCATCATTTTAAAGTTTGTTATAAGTTTATTTGTAAAAAATAAAGAAGATATATTTTCTTCTATCTTTGAAGATAATTTTTTTAAAGTTTCTTATAATACAATTTTAAAAAAAGTATCAAGTGCAACATTAATAGGTAGTCTAATTTTCCATTTATTTCATATAATTTTTTCTTTTTCATTTATTAAAAACTCAAGGACTACGGATCTATGGAATACATTCATTGATTATCATATAACAAAAGATTTCCATTTAAAAAAAAAGAAAAAAAGTGAAATTATAAATAAAACTATAAATTATTTTAATAAATATAACAATGAAAAAAATAACACAAATGAAATTAATACTTCTAATAATATCATTTATATTTACAAAAAAAAAGGAGAATATATAATAGATGTGTTGAATTATTTAAAAATTATATGCAATAATTATCCTAGATTAATTACAAAGTATATATGTATTTTAAAAAACATTATTAACAGATATCATTCAAGAATCATGGAATTTTCAGAAATAGATGAAACGATTTATCATCATAATCTAGAACAGGTGAATGAATTAGATAATTCAACAAACGATTATGAAAAATTATATTCAACAAAGGAAAATAAATATTCCAGTATAAATGAAGAAAGAAGAATGGTGTTGATGAAGTTTAGAAGTTTAAAAATGGTAGCAGAAGAAAAAATGAAAATTTGTTTAGATTTTTATTCAGATATTTTTGTCCATGTTTTAGATTTTGCAGCTGTTCTTTGTAATAATATATATGATTTAAAAATTATTGAAAATGTTGTTTTATGTTTTAAAACTCCCTTAACTGCTAATTTAAATATATTTAATTTAACAAAAAAATTATTTAACCAATTTACTTGCTCATTAAATGGAAAATTTAGTGAATTTTCAAAAATTACTAATAAACAGTATATATATGAAAAAAGAAAAAATAACGAAAAAGCACAAATTAATCTACTAGATGAAAAAAGTAATAGCAAATTAGATAAAGAATTGTATAAAAATATGTTGAGCAAAGTTAATGTAAATTTACCAATAGAAGATGTAAAAGAATTAGACTTAAAAAATGATTTTGATGATAGTTCTACCTGTTTTACGTATCTCTATTATTTCAAAATTAATTTATTAGAAAAATTATTTGAACAAAATAATTTTCTTAAAGATATTTTAAAAAATAATAACATTTTAGATTATTTATTGAATAACAACACATATTTAAATAAATTAATAAAAGAAAATACATTGATTGAAAAACATTTACAAGAAAAAAATGTTTTTAAATCTTATCCTCAAAATTATGATGCTCAAAAAAGTTTATTTATAGATAAGGAATACACTAATTATGTTAAAGAAGCTAACAAAATTTTACAAGATATAGATCAAAGTAATACAAAATTAAAATCTTTTATAAATTTTAAATCGTCCAATTCTCTTCAACCAAGTATTTTGAATGACATGCATAATATAAATCCATTGAATTTATTGCAACAAAATGTAAATCAATCAAATTTATTACAACAAAACACTAATCAACCAAATTCAACTCAAACAAATTTAAATAATGAATTAAAGACATTTTTAAATTCATCAAATGAACAAAATACATTAGCGAAAAATATTTTTAATAGCAATACAGTTCAAAATATAGTAACAGAAAATTGTTCTGATTTAAATCTAATGGATGAGAGATTACTTGAGAAAATATTAAACGAAGAAAATTGTTTAAATTATTTATTAATAGAAAATAAATTAACAGAAAATTTATTAAGAGAAAATAATTTTTTAAAATGCGAATTTAATAAATATAATATTGTAGATTTGATTTATAAAAATAAAATTGGTGAAGCTCTCCTTGATCAATTGAAAACCATTATGCTAAATGAATACAATGTAAATGAAATATCATCTTATGAAAATAAATTTAGAAATTTAACAAGAAGAAATCATGATGGTTCTTATAATAGCAAAGAAGCAATTAAAATATTTTTTGATGAAAATAAAGATTCTATTGATTTTTTTAAAGACAAACAATATGAAATGCCAATATTTAAAGATGATGATTCTAGTACTATTAATGAAAGCTTAATGAACAGAGCAAAAATTATTTTAAAAACCGAATTAGAATGCGAAAAAAAAAATAATATTGATACTAGGTATTTATTAAAAAATATATTTGAAAAAAATTTTTATCCCTATAATTGTTTAAAAATGTTAGAAAAGTGTCTATTATTTTTGTCATCTGTTAACAATAATAAATTGTGTTACTACTTACCTATTAATAAAAATTTATTAATTGATTACATTTTGTTGGAACAGTATGAATGTAATCAGTCTTCTTTGAAAGTAGACAATTTTAAAGGAGATTTGAAAGATAACAAAAAACATAAATTAGAAGAAGAAAATAAATTATTTAAAATAAAAAATAGCAAATATAATAATTTGCTTTCTTTAATAGATACTCAAAAGATAACTAATACATCTAATTTTAAAAATGTTTTTATTCATAACCTAAGTATGTCCAATAAGATTACAGAAGAAAAAAATAAAAATATAAAACAATATAAGACTGTGCATTTACTTGATATGCTTTATGAAATAATAAAAACAAAATATAATTCATCTATTGATATAATTAATTTAAAATGTTTATGTATTGAAATATTATGTTCAAGTTTTGTTAAAAATTCTTCATCAGCACTATCGGTGTTATGCACGTTAACTCAAATATTTCCTGATATATATATAGAAGTTATGAAAAGATATACTGAGGAAAATGAACACATTAAAAAGAATTTAGAAAATATAGATAGACAATTATCTATTGGGCAAATTAAGTATGAAAAATTAGAGGAATTATCTAATAATTTTTATCCTCCATATTTTAATTTAAAAATTATTATTACATTTATGAAATGTATTAACTTTTTGTTATATATGATAGGAATCAAAAGAAAATTTAACTTGTCATTAAGTAAGGTATGGTATTTTTTTAATAACATAGATAAAATAGAGGAAATAGATAAAAAAGTGAGAGGAAAAAAGTTATATGAAGAAGAATATGAAGAAAAATTAGAAAATAATAGAATAAATGGAAAAGAATTTTATAATGATGAGGATGATATTAGGAGAAAAAAAAATAATAATAATAATAATAATAAGAAATCCACCAAATCTACTATTTTTTTTGATATTTTTTATAACTTTGACTTATTTTTTGAAGATCTTGAAAAAGAAGAAGAAAATGTACCAGTAGATATAAACTTAAATGATACCAAAGATGATGTATATGAAAATTGTTTAAAAAAAAAATTAATGATAACAGATGAAGAGAAAAATATATGTAAACATTTAATATTATTAACAAATTATATAGTTCAAAATATATTTTATAATTTAATAAATAATTTTATTTTAAAAAAGATAAGAGATAAAAAATATGAAAAAGAAGATATATTAGATGAAGATGTCAAATTAGAAATTTTTATGAACAAGCAAGAAAATTCTATTTTTAAAAGAAGATATAATTATTATATTCATAAATCAAAAAATTTAGAATATCAAATAATAAATATGCAAAATGAAATAAATTTAAATAATACTTATATTTCACAAATAGAACAAATATTAAAACAAAATAATATTCCTTTTGAACCATATATATTATCTCAAAAAATATTTGATAAAACCCTTTCTTATACGCCTAATTTACATAATAATACTTTGGATCCACGTATTACCAATTCAAATGATTTATTATCACAACCTTCAAATCAATTGCAAATTAGTAATACCCCATTGAGTACATTACCTTCCTCCAGCTTATTTAATAATACAGTAACACAATTTGGTGAAAAAAATACATTAAATGATAATGTTTCTAGTAATTTAACGAATACATCTTTTTCTTTTTTTAAATCAGACGATAAATTAAGTAATACATCAAATTTATTAGAAAATAAAACAAATCAAACCACTTTATTTGGGACACAAAATAATTTATCAAATACTACAAATAATATATTTAATACACAAAATAGTTCCTTATCATTATCAAAAGTATCTCCATCAATAGAAAATGCAAGAACAAATTATGAACCATCAACTAGATTACATTCACTTTCTCAGTCAACAAATGTGACTTCTGTTTTTCCAACCTCTTCTTTTAATAAAATGTCGAATAATTTATTTAATACTTCAACAAATAATTCATTAATGGATAATACTAAGCAAACAACTGGTTCAAGTATATTTTCAACAAATCCGTTAAGTACAAATGTAGGCAATTCATCTAATTTATTTACATCTGTGCAAAATCAGAATAATAACAATACATTAGGTTTTAATTTAAATCAACCTTCTTCCTCTTCTTTTATGAATAATTCTTTATTAAATAATACAAATAAAACATATGGAAACATGTCAACTTCAAATACTTTATTACCTAGTAGCATAAATACAACTTCAGGTAACACAAGTACTTCTTTATTTGGTACTTCTAATTCTCAAAATAATCAATCAAATATTAATAATATCTTTAATCAAACAAACTCTTCAAATAATTCAAGATCTTTATTTAGTAATAATTCATCAACAAATTTTGCAAGTGGTAACAATAGTATGAGTTCGAACACTTTTAATACTGCAAATAATAATCAACAGAATTTATTTGGTAGTACTATTTCTAATACTAATCAAGTTCTAACTACACCTAGTTTTGGCAGTTCATCTAATAATTTGAGCAAACCAAATCTTTTTTCTCCAATAAATCAAAATAATATTTTTAATAATTCCATGTTTTCAACAAATAACTCAAATTCCCTTTTTAACTCAAATAATACAAATAATAATTTTTTAAGTAATATTAATGCAAATAAAGAACCAAATCAAAGTATATCTACGAATGTTAATAATCCTTTATCATCTATGGCATTTAATCAGAATACAAGTTATATGGGTAACCAATCACTAAATATGTTTAACAGAAATATATCAGATACAAATTCATTTTTACAAAATCAACAAAACACTAATTCTTTGTTATCAAAACCATTATTTTCATTTTCAGATAAAACTACAACAATGCCAAAAATAGGAATGGGGGCAAATACAACACCAAGTCTGTTTAATAATTTAGGAAATAATCCATCTTCTTCAATGTTTAGTTTATCATCTTCTAATTTACAAAATAAAAATATATTTAATAACCAATCAGGATCACAAAATATATCATCTTTAAATAATAGTAGCAATAATTTTTCTAATTTAACTAATAAAAATTTTGGTAGTATAACAAATCAATCACTTTTTAACAATCAAGAGTCATCTAAAATGAATTTATTTACTAACAATCCCTTTACTTCTAATAATAGTCCATCCTTATTTTCTAATTTAAATCAATCTAATAATATCTTTAACTCAAATAATAATTTATTATCATCCCCATCAAATAATTTTACTCAAAAATTTTTGAATAATTCTTTTCCTTTAAATTTAGATCAACTTAAAGTATACTATGAAGATTTAAAATTGAAAACTAATTTATTAAATACAGAAGTATATAAATACAAAATAGAACTAAAAAAAAATGAATATAATTTAAGTAAGGAAAAAAAAATTCAAATAATTAAAGAAAATAAATTAAGAGAAGCAAAAAGTAAATCAGATATAAATTTCAAAGATAATGAAATGTTTATTTTAATTGTTTTAGTTTTCATTTATTTTAAATTAATTTTAAAGGGTCCATTACCATCTAATGAAAAGAATAAAAAAATAAATCGAGTAATGAATGAACGCTTTGATTACTTGTGTGATTTTAGGCCAACTATGTATCTTTATGAGCAAATTTTAGGAGAATCTAATAAATTTATGAATACATTTTTCAATATTATATTTTTAGACAATATTTTACATGAAGAAAACAAAAACATTGAAGAAATCATTTTAAAGTGTAAAAATTATTCAGAATATATAAGTATTTATAATCAAAAAAAAAGTCTCTTTTTAAAAAAAAATTTAACTGATTCAGAGATGCTTTTAAATAGTAATAATAGAACTATAACAAAAGAAGAAAGTGGTGAATATAATATTTTCAATACTATGACTGGTGATGTATATTTTGAAAAAAAAATGCAATATCTTACATGTTCCTATTCTAAAGAATATTATATCTCATTATTCTTTCACAAAATAAAATCATTGGGTTTTGATATTTTAAAAATATTATTTGAAAGAGATGTTTTATTTATTCATATGTATAATTTATGGAAAAATGAAAAATTGTTGCAAAAAAAAATAGAAAAATTTCAGTTTGATTTAAATATTGATGATACAACTAATGAAAAACAATCATTTTTAGAAAAAGAAATAAATATGACAGAATCTTTATGCTCACCCATATATATTCATAACTTTTTATTTAAAAATATTAACATAAATTCTAGAACAACTTACTTAATATTATTATTAAAAAATTTCTTTAGAACTAGTGAAATGAACAAAATTATTATTTACTTTATTTTGCAAATTTTTATTCGAGATTCAAAAACTACTATAAATGTTTTAAAAAGAGACAATGAATCATTTAACTTTTTAAAATTTGCTTTAAGAAATATTTTCATATATAATTTAAACAAACAAAAATTTAACAATTGCTATATTATTTCTAATAGGACTATAAAAATGCAAAATATACTTAACAATTTTATCGATTTACCATTATTATACCTATTGAAAAATACAAAAATCCGACAGAAGAAATATTTTTTAATTAAAACGAAAAAAAATTTAAATAACCAAAATTCATCAAGTAAAGAAATTTTAAATACACACAATTGGATATCCTACTTAAATGAGCAGAAAGATGAAGAATGTGAAGAAGAAAAAGAACAACTAGAAGATGAAAATGAAGAAAATAAAAAAAATAGAGGGAAATTTAAAAATGCACAAAATGATTGGGATAAAAATCAAAATAAAAATACTATTACTAATTATTTAAATTACAAAGAAGAAAAAAATTATTTTCATAATAAGAAAGAACTTGATCAACCATATATTAATAATAAGCAATATCATGATAATTCTGGTAAATTTACTAATTATAAAAGTTTTGATGAAGATAATGAAAATGATTATGATGAAGATGAGGATTACTGTTTTGATGAATATGATTATGAAGATAAGCATGATGATAATTATAGTTATGATGAAGATGACGATGAGGAAGAAGATGATGATAACGAACAAGAATATTCAATTGATTCTACTAATAAAAATATAAACGAAAGAAAAAAGAAATTGTTAAAAAAAAATTTACTAAATTTAAATAATGATTTATGTGAAAAGATAAATTTTTTAAAGAAAAATGAAAACAATGATAATTATAAAATGGATGACACATTCATTTCTAAATATAAAAATTTTAAACTCAAAAAGAAGAATCAATCCAAGTATATATATGATTATCTATCAGATAACGATTTAATAGATACTATAAAAAGTAAAAAAATTTGTGTGTTTTATGATGACAAGGAAAAAGAAGAAGAGAATGATTCTTTTTCATTTTATAATTTAATTTCTGATAATTATAATGATTATTATTCTAAAGTCGATTATTACAAAGAAATTAAATCAGTTGATTATAATTTAATTGGGTATTGTAGTTCATATAATTTCTTGCCTATTAATAATTTTTACACAGAAAAATACGATTTTATTGAAAATGAGTTAGTATATATGAGTGATTTAAAATTATATTTCTATGTGAAATCTTTTAAAAGGCATGCATATTTTAGAAAATTATTAAATATTGAAAATTTTGAACAAAATAATGAAAATTACAATAATATAACTTCTTTTGTGGAAGAAAATTATAGTAATAATATTCAGGATTATGAATTAAGAAAAAAAGATAGAACTGAAAATGATCAAAACACAAAAGAAAATTTTAATGAAATAAATAGAGAAAAGGAAGAAAAAGAAAAAGAAATAAAAAATAGGAGTGCTATAAAAACAGTTAAAGAAGATGTAAACGCAAGTAACGTTATTTCTTATTTAAAAAACAAAAATAATAGTAAAATAAATTTAGTTAATGATTTAGAAAAGGTTGTTGATAATGAGGTAAAATATTATGATATATTTAATAAATTGAACAAGTTGAATGAAAATATTTTATTCCCAAATATTCTTCATGAAAATAGAGAAGATAAAATAAAATATATAGAATACATCAAAAAAATAGTAGAAAAAGAACAAATGGAAGATAAAAAATATAAGGAAAATTTATTACTACCTTTAAATGATTTATTACAATCTAAAAAGAAAGAAACAGAGAAAAAATTAAATAATGAATTAAGAAAAAAAAATATTTTTATGAACAATGAATTATGTGAATGGATAGAATTAAGTCATCTATTGAATGTTGACATAGACTACAATGATTTAAGAAATGTAAATAAGAAAAAAATTATTAATAATTATAGCAAAATTCCAATTACTAAATTAATTTTATATTTTTATGAAATTATAACGAGAAAATTTTTATTTTTAAATAATTCGGATTCTTTAATAGAAAATTGTGTTTTATCATTATTAGGAATATCTTTCATTCCATCTAAGTATATTGATAAAAAAAATATTATTACAAATATTGATGAAGGCTTAGAATTGGAAGAACAATGTTTTTTGAGTTGTATGATTAAAAATGTTATCATCAATTTTTCAAACTTTCAAAATATATCAGAGATTGTTCACATTGATTATGATATTGAAGAAAATAAAAATAAAGAAAATAATCTATCATTAAATACAAATTCAAAATTTTTGTTAAAAAAAAATAAAGATTATTATAAAAAAAATGTTTTCTTAAATGATATTAATAATTTAAGACAATATAATATATTTGAAAAAAACTCTTACTTTACAAAAAGTCTTAATATTGTATACATGATTTCAAAAAATAAAAAAATGAAAGATTATATAATAAGTTTAATAAATATTATGTGGGAAAATAAATTTAATGTTTTTTATTACTTAACTCAAAATATAAATATTGAAAAACTGAAAGACATTGAGAAAATTTTATTTTTTAAAGTATCTTATCATATACTAAATATATTTATACCCATTATAGATAATATATTAAACAATATTGATAAGCATGTTAATTGTTTTATTGATTTAAATTTTATTAATGATGAATTAGAAAATAACAAATTAACAAATGAAAAGAAACATAATTTCAGTAATGAACTAATAAATAAAGATAATTTTAATGAAAAAAAAAATATTTTTGAATTTTTAAATGCAATTTTCAACTTTGATAATATGCAAAATTTTATAACACACTATATTAATATTATAAAAAATTATAATGATAATTATTTAAAGCATTATATATATCATTATTATCTTTTTAATTACGATTTTAATTTTCAGAATATTTATAATTATTCTAATATGGAACATATTCATTACATCAGTAATGAACAAACTCAAGATAAAGTTCACGTATTATATACAAGTATAATTAATACCAACGTAAATTTTTGTGATATTTCAAAAAATAGTACTATTAATAATAAATATATATTCAAATATTGCAATAATACAAATTATATACAATATAAACCAGCAGAAGAAAAAGAACAAAACTGTTTTAACGATAATAATAATAATAATAATAATAATAATAATAATAATAATAATAATAATAATAATAATAATAATAAAAAATTTCTCAAAAGTTTAGATAAAAATTTTAATTTTGAACAATTAAATGATATTATATGTAACAAAACACATTTAGATAATTTTCTTAATAAGTACTATTTAAATAAAAATAGTGTAAATAATAACAATAGTAATGAAAACAATAACAAAAATAAAATTAATAAAATAAAATCAAAATTAAGAGAATATTATTATTTGCAGAAAAATGTTTACATATATAATAGTATAAATTATTTAAATATTAATTATAAAAATTGGCTTGTTGTTTATAAAATATACATTGAAAAGGTTACTTATTTAGTAGATTTGGTATTAAAGATTAAAAATAACATTATTAATAAAAAAATATATTATTTAAAAAATTACTTTTATATTATTAATAATATCCAAAAATATCTTAAAAGTATTATATCAATAATTAAATCGTCCTATTACATCAATTTTAATGTTCAAATTACTCCTATTTTATTTATTGTTTATTTATTTATTACTATTTTTTTCTTTTCTCATAATAACAAATTTGCATTTAATTATCTCTCTTGTATTAATAAAGGATTTCATAATTTATTTAAAGATAAGAAAGTTTTTATTCTAAAAAATTTTGAAAATAATGACGATGACGATGATGATGATGATGATGGTGACAAATGTGAGAAAGAAAATAAAATCAACGAGGAGGAAAAAGAGAAAGATAAAGAGAGAGAAAATGAAAAAGAAAAGAAAATAGAGAATAAAGAAGAAAAACAAATAAATAAAGATGAATATAAAATAGAAAATTTAAAATTTCATAAAAAACTAAAAATGTCCGAATTATTTTCAAAAAAAATTTTAAATAAAGAATTTGAAAGCAATCTACTAAATTTTCCGAAAAATAATGCATTTATATTAAATGAGAATGATTATTTAAAAGAGCATGTTGTAATTAATAAGCAACAGAATGAAATGGAGAAAAATTTTAAGGAATTTTCTTCCATGAATAAATTATTTTTAAATGATAATAATAAAAAAATTATAAAAAAGAAGGAAAATGCATATATGATAAATACGTATAAAAATATTTATGAAATTGAAGAAATAGATAATTTAAACAATAATGATAAAATATATTACGATGTACACAATGAGTACTCTAAATTAATTTTAAAAAGCAGTGAATTTTTTGACGATTTATTAGAACTTTTAATCATATTAATTACTAAAAAACATCCAATATTAAATAAGTATACTATTATATATATATATGAATGTTTATATACACTCTTAAATATATATCATTATAATTATTTGTACAATGACGATTATAACATTGGTAATACAAAAAATATGTTTTTATCACTTATCAAAAGAATAAATAAAGATATTTTAAATGATTTCATTAGTACATTATTTATTGATTCCTATAAAAATTTTCTTATAAATAAGAATTCTGTTATTCCTATATATTTTTATAATAATATATACAAATTTGTTGATTATAATACGGAAATTTTTTTATACAAAAGTGAAAAGGAAAATATGAAAAATCAAAATTTTTTATCTATTGAAGAAGAGAAGAAGCAGATAAGAAAAAGTTTTATCTTAGAAAAAGAAAAAAATTACACAGATGGAGAAGAAAATAATATGTTAAACAAAAAAAAAAGTGAAAAAGAAAAATATGAAAATGAATTAAAAGAAAACATAAAAAATAATAACAATGATGAAGATGATGAGACAGATGAAAATAACGATACATTAATAAATTTTAATTTTAAAAATCAATTCAAAAATAAAATTCATTTAAATAATAGAAGTTTAAATATATACGAAGAAGTATATTGTTGTAACTTTTTATATAACAAAAATGACTTGAATCTGTTAAGTATTAATTTATTGATATTTTTATTAAATAAAATTGGCATTTATGAAATAGATATAAAAATTGATGAAAATAATATAATAAATTTAATAAAAGGAAATTTATTTTTATTTAATAAAAATGTAGATAAACAAAATGAAAATAAAATGCTACACACATGTTATTTATTAAGTTCTCTATGTGATACAACTTATATTAATGAATTTGTTACAAAAGAAAATTTATTTAGTTTATTTTTAAAAAGTAATATTTTTGATAATTTATATGAATATAAATTTAATTATTTATCCAATAGTATATCATTTTTAACCTTCCCAACCAACTTTTTAGAAAACAAAAATATTTATATACCACTTCCAATGCTAATTATTTCATACATAACTGTTATATTAAAAGTAGTAGATAAAAAAGGGTTGTATCTGTTTAAAATTATAAGCAAATGGATTATTAAAAATATAAATATATTTATAAATCACTTAATAGTTAATAATTACCTTATGAAATCGAATGAAATAACTCATGAAGTAAATAATTTCACTACTAATAATCATAACTTAATATATAAATGTTTATGTTATGCATCTACATGTAATTTTACCAAACAAATCAAAAACGATATTATTAACAATTATTTAGAAGATTTCAACAACAAAATGAAAGAAAATAAACATAATTTATTTGATAATTTAAATAAAGATATGCATTCAGATAAAACATGTTCAGAAGAATATATAAATCATGCAAACATTAACTTAGTCAATCTAGATATAATTTATTCTAGTACTTATTATTTATTAAGATTATATAAAAATTATTTATTATATATTCATCAGAATTATTTAAACCTAAAAAAATTAAAAATTATAGAAAAAAATAAAAAGAAAAAGAAAAATGCACGTAATAAGAAGTCAAAAGAAACTAGTTCAATAGAAAAAGAATCTGTTGATACAGATGAAGAAGATGATGAGGAGGAAGACGAGAATGACTATGAAGATGAAGATGAGGATGAAAATGAATATGAGGAACTTAATAATAATGAAGAGAAAGAAAATGAAAAAAATAAAAATGTAGAAGAAGAAATTGATAGTATTTTAGATGAGAAAAAAATAAAAAATTTCAATAACTATCATCATACATATGAAAGTAGTAAAATGATGAAAGATGAAGAATTTATTTTAGATAATTCATTAAGTTTTAATTTTAACGAAATATCATTAAATATATGCAATATAATAAAAGAACATAATTATATACTACAATATATTAAAGATCTGTTAAATATTTTATCCATATTTGTTATATATGACATTAGCTTGAAAGATGAAAATGATCTACTTAACAAAAACCTAAATAATTCTATGCTCGAAAAAAGAAGAAAAAATATAAGAACACACAGAATTTTGCAAAATATTATACCTAAATATTCCATAAAATTCCATTGTATTAATTTATGTTTAGATATAATTGAATATGATATTGGTTTATATGACGAATATGTACAACAATCAAAAACTAAATATTATGAATATATTAAAATAGTTTTAAAAGTTTTTATGAATACGTGTTTTTATTTTATAAACATAATAAAATTTGAAAATTATCATATGCTAAAAAGTGTTTCTACAGCCTTGAAAAAACTAACCAATATAATATACTTTTTATTAAATAATTTAACATTAAAAGAAAAATCAAGTGAAGAAGATTCCGTATTAATGAATAAATTTATTTATGATAAGAGTGGTTTGAAAAAAAATGCTCATGAAATTACTACTGAGTTATTTAATTCAGAATATAATGCCTTTAATGATAAAAAATACTCTTCAGATAATATTAAAAAGTTTTTAGAAAACATTGAAATTGATATTAATGTTTTGAAGAAAATTTTAACTTGCGTTATTTACTTTACTTATGCTATGTTAAGCAATCAAAAAGTTAATAAAATCAATATAGAAAATATCAATTTAAATCATATTAATAAAATTAATTTAAAAAAAATAACCAATACTTATTTAGAAAATAATAATATTTTAAAAGTTTTTACTTTTATATTGCAAAGATCAACTCAAATTTATTATCTTTTGTATAATTATGCAACGCAAACACATAAGCAATAAATTGTATATATATATATATATATATATATATATATATATATATATATATATTTATTTTTATAAATATATGCGTTTATAAGTAAATATGCATATATTTATTATATTGTTTTTTTTTTTTTTAAATGTTCCTTATAAAATCTACAACTTTTTATTCTTTAAATAAATAACATCATAAAAATTTTTTTTTAATATTTACTTAATAAGTATCTTAAAAATATAAAAAACAAAAAAATATGATAAAAAAAAAATATCCCTTTTTTTATATGAATTAAAAAAAAGAGCAATGAGTAATGAATTAAAAAAAATTGTGTATATATTAAAAAAAATTAATACAAAAAAAAAAAAAAAAAAAAAAAATCATATATATTATAAAACATATAAATATGTAAATTATTTTTTTTGAAGTTATTAAATTAAAAACATATTTAATGATTGATGTTAAGAATACATATATAATAAAAACAAATATGTTGAAACTTATAAATATATATAAAATACTTTTTTATATTAAATTAATATTAATAGTTTTAATGTGTGTGTGGAGAAATATGAGCCATTAAGCAAATTATTGAAAATGCAATAATACATGAACAACAAAAACTAATCCATTTTGTAAATCTAACCTTCCTACTAAATTTTTCATTTATTTCATTTAATAATATCTAAAAAGAAAAAAATTATATATATATATATATTTATATATATATATATATATATTTATATATATATATATATATATTTATATATAAGCATATATAACAATAATATATTATGCATAAGGTGAAATTTGTAAAAAAATATATTTACATATATCTCATAAATTTTTTTTTTTTTTTTTTTTATAAAGATTTACTTCACATCCAATGAAAAGTAAAGTTCCTATAGAAATAGCATTAATTATACAAGTTATTTTTTCTCCTGTAAAAAAAAAATTAAATTAAAATAAATCTGACCAAATAAATTTACAAATTTTAAAATAGTTATACCTGCTGCCTGAACTACATAACCTAAAATAATTCCCAATGGTGATGAAATTATAAATATCATCAATAAAATTATCTTTAAACTGTTACTCTACAAAAAAAAAAGTATCAAATAAGCTTGTTAGGGAAATACAATTATTTATTATGTATAATAAAAAATTAATTACTAAATTATTCTGATTTAATGATATAGAAACTGTTATTCCTGCTATCCATTTGTGAGATAATATACAAAATGAATTTATAAAAACATAGTTTACTTGATCTGACGTTCCTACAACCATTCCTAAAAAAAAAAAAAAAAAAAAAAAAATTAAAAAATATATACACATTTACAAAATAAAAACAAGATATATAAAATAAAAAAAAAAAATAAAATGTTTTTGAATACAAAGTATAAAAAAATATTACAAAAAAAGACAATATTTTTTTTTTTTTTACCTTCAATGAATGAATGAATAGCTAACGATAATGTTAAGAAAAATGATTGCATAGTTAAAACTTGTAAAAATTCCCACGAATTTTTTTTTGTGATATTATGATTTTCGCATGCATGAAGATATTGAGCTTCATTAATAATCTTCAAAAAAATAAAAAAAATAAAAAAATAAAAAAATAAAAAAATAAGAATACATGTAAATACAAATATAAAATATGAAAAGCATTTAAAAATAAACTATTTTATTACCACGTTATGCATCTCTAAATTGTGAGAATTGTTGTTAGTTTTTACTAATTTGCTGCAATAGTATAAGAATAAAATCAATTATAATAAAAAGTGAAATTAATTTTTAAAAAATTAAAAATAAAAAAATATTAAAAGGGTATAAATTAATGTAAATAAAGGGTAAAGAAAAAATAAAATTTTTTTTTTTTTTTGTGTAATAATTTTTACTTTTAATATATTTTTACTTGATATAATTTTCATTAGGAATCACATTCTCATTTTCGTGAAGAACACAACAAATATGTCTATCCGTTGGGAGAACATATTCTAAAGCTAACTGCATACAAAATCCAATAAATACAAAAAAAAAAATATACAGAATTTTTATCTCCTTATCATACGAATTGAAAATTTTCATATTATCATGTTCAATTGCAACAAAAATAGTTTCTGGTAATAAATGAAACATTATAATTGAAAATATAAAACCTGAACCAAAGCAATTTAAATTAGAAAGGATGTTTTTTATTTTATTTTCATTTTGACTTTCATGCTTTTTCCCATATATTCCTATCAAATAGGGTATCAAACATCCTGTTGTTGTAACTATAATAAAAATAAATATACAAATTGTTTTTGCTAAAAATGTATCCATATTCCTACATATATTTATATAGATATATTTATATCTTAATAATTTAAAACAATAAATAAAATTGGAAATTCTTTATAAATAAATATGAATTTATTCTGATTTTTCTTTTATAAAATTAATCCTATTAACATTCCATACGTTTTAATTCTTCTGTAAAAATATTAATGATATTACAATGTATATGAAAACTAATAAAATAAACTAATTTATTAATAATAAAATCAAGAAAATAATATTAATATAAAAAAATTACTACTTCTATAATAAACATTATAAAATACATATTATTTTTCTTTATAATATAACTTACACTATAAAAAAATATTTTTATTTTTCATAATTTTACAAAACATATTTTTTATATCTTAAAAATTAAATAAAAATAATTGAAATTAAAATATACAATTAAAAAATATTAAAAAAAAAAAAAAAAAAAATGTAATAAATTATTCTTTTTCTGTAATTCTTTAAAAAAATATAAAATTGAAACTATTTTATCATAAAGTTTAAAAAATTTTTTATAATTAAAAATATTAAAATAAATTAAAAATATATATACATATATATATATATATAGTTATATATTATGTTTATTAAATATATGCATACAAATATATATGTTTTCATAAACAATAAGAAAAAAAATTTTTTTTTTTTTTTTTTTTTTTTTTTTTTTGTACTTTCTTTACTATTTTATGTAACTAATGATTTTACAACAACGAAATAAATAAAGAAGGTTAAAAAGAGGAAGAATAAAAAAATAATTATAAAATAAAATAAAAAACACATAATGAAATAATTCTCTATAAAATGTGAATAATAAAAAGTTAATAAATATATTGAATACTTAAAAAACAATAATTTATTAATTAGAGAAAAAAAAAAATTCCTAATATTTTTACATAAATTTATATATAGCTAAAAATGAATATTATATTTATCTTAGTTTATTAAAAGAAAGTTTAAGAATCCCTATAAAGTATAATTAAAAAAAAAAATACATGAATACACGAAAACTATAATATAAATATATATATCTAGATATAAAAATATAGATACATGAAAAAATATATTAATAAAAAAAAAAAATAAATTAAATAATTTTAAATACTAAAAAAAAAAAAAAAATGTAAATTTTATTTTCAAATTTTTTATGAATAAATTTATAAAATATGTAAATATATATATACTGTTTTTTCTTAATTTTCATTTTATGCATGCGTTTTATTTTTTTATTTTTTTTATTTTTTTAATATTTATAAAGCTCAAACGCAAAATTTATTTTTTTAATCTTTCCTTAAATTTTATAAAATAATGAATAAGAGTTCTATAAATTTTTTAACAGAAAAATAATATACATATTTATTATTTGTCTAATTATTAGAACATATATTTTTTTATTAATTTCCTTTTTTTGTGAAATACAATATTTGTACAATGAATAACTTAAAAAGAAAATTGTCTACTTTTTCCTTAAAACAAAACAAATATCATTTTTTAAAAAAAAATTTTTTTTTTGAAAAAAAGTATATATCTTCTAATAAGAAAAATGAAAAAATAACAAAAGAAAATTGCCAGATTCTTCCTAATATTATTTTAGAAACTGAAATTTTTTTCGAATTTAAAGGTAATTAAAAAAAAAAAAAAAAAAAAAAAAAAAAGCAACATTTCTATATATATATATAAATAAGTACATAAAATATATTTTATTTTATTTTATTTTTTTTTTTTTTTTTTTCTTAATAATTTTAAATTAATAATTATACAATTTTCTAAATCTACCTATAACATCAATAGAAATTTTTTATAGAGGATTCAATTTATGTGATTTGTGCAAAATGTCCACATTTGATGAAATTATTTTCTTATTGTTATATGGAAGGTTAGCTAATTTAAAGGAATTAGATGAAAAAAAAAATTATTTTGAGAGTATATTTAGAAATTTTGATGAAAGAAAAATTTTTAAAATAAATGAAATTTTAGAAAATTCTAATTTTTTAGAATTATTAAGAATATGCATGTTTAATTTTTCTTTACTTGAAAAAAATAACAATGATATTAATTTAAGTTATTATAAAATTTTAGCATGCTCATTAAGATTAATAATGGTTTTTTATTCTAATAAAAAGGATCATTTGAGAATTAATGAAAAGAAGTTTGATAATTTTTGTTCATTCTTTATTGAAAATTGTGATTTTAGATGGAAAACTATGAAAAAGGATATTGAAAATACTACATACGAAAAAGACAGACTAAATGAAAATGAAAACAAAATTAAAAAAGAAAAAATAAAATTATTAAATATACTTTTAATATTAATATGTGAGAATAATATTAATGAAAAAACCTTTTTAATAAGAATGATATCTAACATTAATGATAATTATTTTAATATATGTCTATCAGCTGTTACTTTTTACATAGATATTTTTAAAAAAATTGATTTTAATTCTTCACTTGAATCTTTTTTAAATTTTGAATTTTCTCCTAATAATATAACTAAATATGAAATGGATAAAAAAAGCAACATTAATTTTTTTTTTTATAGAAATTGTTTTTTTTTAAAAAAGAGCAATATTTTAAAACAATATTTAGTGAAATACTGTTCAAATACTTATAAGTCAAATTTAGATATTTTAAATCATTTTATGAAAATAGAAAATTTTTTTTTAAAATGTGAAAATAAATATGCATCTTCATATTATTATACTCTTTTAACTTTTTATTTATTAGATATTTCAGCAGAATTATTACCAGTCTTATATTTTTTATCAAGACTTTTGAGTTTTACTACACATATAAATGAACAAAAAAAAAATAATAAAATTATAAAATATTCAAGTACCTATATTGGTAACCCACCTATGAATTATATTGATATTAATCAAAGATAAAAAGAAAAAAATATTTTCTATATAAGAAAAGAAATATTAATAAATTTTAATTATACTTTTAAAAATATATTTAATTTTTATTTTATTATTTTTTTTTTTTAAATTATTCTTATATATAGCAAATAAAAATAAAAAAAAAAAAGTTGAAACTTTATTATATATTAATATAAAAGATTAAAATTAAAAGTCTCATAAATATATAATTCTTCATTTCTAACATTTATATAAAAAATAAAGCTTTTCAAAAAAATTTTGGTTGTATTACATATTTTTAATATTACTAAAAAAAAAAAAATTTTAACTTAAAACTGTATAAAATTGTCTTTTATAAGTTTAAAAGACTTATATAAATATTTACTTAATTAATATTAGCAATAAATTAAAATTGTCTAAATTACTATGTTCAATAGTTATTTTAAAACTTATTTAAATGTTTAGTATGTATTATTTATACTATTTATTAAAATTAATAAAATATATATTTAAATTATTTATATAATTTTAGTAATAATTATTTCATAGAAGTTTAATAATTAAAACAAAGTAGATTTTGAAATGAAAGGTGAATTCGTTTTTTCATTCAAATAAATTTATTTCATTTCTTTTATTTATCTTTTGTTTTTATATATAAATAGAAATATAATGTTATGTGCATTTTCTTCATTTTATATTTTCAAAACTATATAAAAAAGAAAAAAAAAGTTAAAATGTCAAGTATTTTTTTTTTTTTTTTTTGTTTTTCGTAAAATGTTGTTTAAAAACGTGTAATGTAAAATATGTGGCATCAATAATTTATATAAAAGGGGAAATTCATAAAATTAAATTTTTATAATATTTTTGAAAAACTATATTTATTTTTTTTTTTTTTTAAAGGATTACAAATAAGAGTTAATGCAAAGAATAAGAATACATAATAATAGGAAAATATAAAAAATATTAAAAAAATATACGTTGTTTTTTTTTTTTTTTTGTATATTTTATAGGATTAATATTAAAATTTTATCCTCTAATTATATTTTTTTAAAGTATAAAAATAAGAATATATATATTATAAGGGTTTATGAATATTAAACGAAGAGGAAAATAATTCTCAATTTAATTTTTTTTATTTTACTTTTCTTATTTTCTTAATTAAATTTAAATTATCAAACTATGTATAAAATTGAAAAATATATTAAGATAATTTTTTTTTTTTTTTTAAGAATAAAAATTTTAATAGAAATTTTTGTAAGTGAAATTCAAAAAAAAAAAAAAAAAAAAAAAAAAAATTTTTTT